GCTGAAGCAGCCCCCTGCGCCCTGTCACTCTCTAAAGTCACTTTATCTCCTTAATATGGCACTTTCCAGGGTCTGAAATGATCTCGCTGATGGATGTGGTTATAGTTGATTATTCTGAAGTGCAGGAGCCGTTGCTTGTCATGGTCACTGCTCCATGCCCAGTGCCCAGAACCCTGCCGACAATCAACATCCATTTGTAGGCATGACCCAACATTTGCTCTGCCCCCCAAGGGCTGAACCCAGGGAAGGACTGGCCTCTGACTGTCCATCCACTCTGCAGGCCTTCCTCTCCCGCACACTACAGCCCTCTGCTGCTACTCTACACCTAGCCTGTGTGGTCTTGGGCAAGTCGTTACCCCTCTCTGGCATCTGGGTGAGTGGAGGGAGGTTGAGCATCTTGTCATATTTGTCGACCATTCTTGTTTCCTCTTTTGTCAAATGCCTATTTGCATCTTGTAGCCCATATTTATGTATTCGTATATTCTACATATGAATCACCAGGCAACCAAGGGACAGTCTAAGATTTTTTTTAAAGACGACTTCTTATGTCCTGGGGCTCATGCCTACAAGGTGAAGAAATCTCAAGACCCCAAGTTCTGTAAATACAGCCCTCCAACCTAGCCCTCTCTTGTTGTCACTGGGCCTGAGGTTCCGGGGTGGGGGGTGGGGGGGTGTACATTTTTGTGAGCTAGGCCTTGCCTTCCTCAAGTCCCTTTGTAAAAACAGAAACCAATGCTAGCCTGCCACCTGGTGGCTGCTTCATTATATCGGTCCCTTCCATAACAGAGGGGACCGAAGTTCAATCACTACAGCAGGCACCTATTCTGAATATTGATTTGCCTACCTTTCATCTTTCTGCCAGCACCACCATCGTGTGCTCATGGAATGCCTCATCCATGTTTATGGCACCACACTGAAGAACTCGTGTCACAGCAGACGAAGAGCAGCTGTGGGCTCGTGTCCAGGGAATTCACTGGCCTTACCTTACATCCCATTCTTGGTACTGAGTCCAAAACATTTCACCACCCCTACTCTGTTCCCATGTGGGATAATGCACCCCATGCCTCACACTTTTGTTAACAGCTTTATTTCTTCTAGTTTGCCCTATAGCTTTAGGGTGTGAAGAGAGATTGGGGCAGTGGGGGCCCCCACACAGTTCACAGCCCAGCCCAGGGCCAGGAAACCTTGTATTCCAAGACTCATGCCGCCTGGAATCACAGCATGTCTGTTGAAAGGATTCCCCCAAATCTTTTTGTCGAACTCCCATTTTACAGTTGGGGACACAGGCCACGAAAAGGGAAGTGGCCTGCCTGGAGGTACATGGTGAGAGAGTGACAGCCCTATCCCTGCCAGCTCCCTACTCAGCCCCAGAAGTGAAGCAAGCTGGGACCTGGCTGAGTGGTCTGTCCGTCCATCCCAAGGGCCAGCACCAGGCCCAATAGCCTACCTCCTCTCCCAGCTAGGATCCCTTGTCTCCCGCTGGAGCCCTCCAGTTTCCTCCTCAGATGCTCTGCTCCCAAACAGGGCCTTGCCCAGCACTCATCTCCCTTTATACCAGTCTGGTCTGGTCCTTTATACCAATTCCTGGGCTTATACTTCCTCCAGTGGCAACTCTGACCTTTACTGCTTGCTCCTCCACCCACCCCCATCCCTACTCCAGCAATAGCAGAAGGCCCCGGGCTAGGCAGGGCTGGGCTAGGCTACACTCTCCCACATTGAGATTACATCGGCAAGATTTGTCTCTTCCAGGATAACCGAGGGTTACCCCGTGGGAGGTAATCACAGGGTAACTCTCTTTACTCACCAAGTTCACAGGGCGCTCTAGCTCCCACTGATGGATGGCTCAGATGTGGCTATTTGTCAGGAAGTGGAAACGTGTTCTAGGTTGGGGACAGGTGTGAGTAAGGATCTGTGTCTGGTTGGTGTATGTGCATGTGTTGGGGAGGCAGTGAGGACCCCCTGCCTGGGTGGGTGGGATGGGGGGTAGGAAGCAATTAGCAGGAATAGGTATAGGCAGACATGAAGCCAACAGCCTGGCTAATTACAGGGTATGACTTTGCAACATTGTCATTGGGGCTGACACATGGGCTGAGACATTCACCGAATCAGAGAAGCAAGACTCTCCATGGAAAACCAAGAGACCTCAAGAGTGATTTCATACCTACAAAGGAATGTTAGTAACCTATGCAAGGGTAAACATACCACAGTTTATCTCTTCCAGTGATGGAGAGTTGGGCTGTTTTCAATTTTTTACTATTTATTAATAAATAGGGCTGTTCAGCCCATGCCTTGGAAATGGTTCTCAGCCAGGTCTGCACATTAGCGTCACTTGGTGTGTATGTTTTTTGTTTTTTTGGGTTTTTTTTTAATCATTTCCGGCAACAAATTCCCACCTCCAGAGACAACAATTCAGTTGATTTAGAATAGGGGATGGGCATCAGTATTTTGTAGAAGATCCTTAGATGATTCTAATATTCTTTGTATTGAGAACCACTGTTCTAGAGCATAGACCCAGGAGCAGAATTCCTGAGAATGTACATATTGGTTTATTTGATATAAAATAGTTTCCAGTGTGGCTGTACTGGACCAGTACAACCAGGCTGTACAACCATTAGCAGTATATAGATTCCATTGCTCCACACCCCTACCAACACTTGATATTACCAGACTCTTAAATTTTTACCAGTTGATCTCTCAAATGATTTTAATTTGTATTTCACTGATTAATGATTAGGTTAAGCATCTTTTCTTTCTTTCTTTTTTTTTTTAAGATTTTATTGGGGAATTGGGGAAGGGGAACATTGTGTTTTTCCAGGACCAATCAGCTCCAAGTCAAGTTGTTGTCCTTCAATCTTAGTTGTGGAGGGCGCAGCTCAGCTCCAAGTCCAGTCATCACTTTCAATCTAGTTTGCGGCGGCGGGGGGGGGGCCGGCACAGCCTGTAACCTTGTGGGAACCGAACCGGTAACCTTGTTGTTAAGAGCACTCACTCTAACCAACTGAGCCATCCAGCCACCCATCACCAGCTCAGTGGCAGCTCAGCTCAGGCACAGCTCACTGGCTCATGTGGGAATCGAACCAGTGACCCTGTTGTTCTCAGAGCTCACTTTCTAACCAACTGAGCCACCCGGCTGGCCCCTAGGTTGAGCATCTTTTCATATTTATTGACCATTCTTGTTTCCTCTTTTGTCAAATGCCTATTTGCATCTTGTAGCCCATATTTAGGTATTTGTATAGACTGCATAATGAACCATGTGGTTGCAAATACCTTCTCCCAGTTTGTAGCTTTCCCTGCCACTTTATTACAATGTTTTCATTAACAATCCTTTTATTGTGAATGAATTTTTTTCAATCTTTTTCTTTATAATCTGCTTTTATGCATTAAGAAATCTCTCCCGATCTTGAAGTAATCAAAATTTTGTTTCTTTTTTAAAGATTTTATTGGGGAACTGGGGGAGCAAACAGCATTGGGGAATCGGGGAAGGGAAACAGACAAGTTGCTGTTCTTCAGTCTAGTTGTGGAGGACGTTGCTTCACTGGCCCATGTTAGTATTATCATTGCGCTCTTCCCGGGTGAGGCAGTTGCTCACTGGCCGTTGGACGGCTGCTCATGGGAGCTCACGCCCGCTGCCAGCCAACCCCACTGCAGCCTATGCCATCGCCGGTGACTCACTGCAGCCCAGCTCCAGGTTGAGCTGTTGTTCACCATCTTAGCTGTAGAGGGCGCAGCATCACTGGCCCTCATGTGGGATCCAAATCGGGGCCCTGCTGCTCAGAGAAGGCGTCCAAAGCCAACTCTTAACCAATGCGCCACTCGGCCGGCCCCTGTTGTTTCTTTCTAAAAATGTTTAAAGTATGACTTTTCATGATTTTAATTCACATGGAATTGATAGTTTGTGTATGATGTGCAATAGGTGTCCAATTTCATTTCTTTTCCTTATTGTTAACCCATTTTTTTAGCAGTTTATCAAACAGTCCATCATACTTCCTCCTCCCTCCCCCAATTGCATTGCTTCCTCTGACATAGCCATGTTTATGTGTGTGGATCTGTTTTTGGCTTCTTTGTTTGATGTCCCATTTGTCTGTCTTTGGGCTGATATCAGGCTGTCTTGTTTTCTCCACCTTATTCTTCTGGAGCACCTTGACGATTCAGTGTTGGTGGTTATATGGATGTTCACTGTAGAAGTCTCAATCTTTCTGTATGTTTGATATTTTTCATAATAAAATATTAGGAAAATGAGTGTCATGACTCATCTGGCCTTTTCTCACAGTGCAATTTTTAAAAGGCTTTCAGGCTGAGCCAGCTCCCAGCAACCCTTGGAGAATAGGATGAGTTTGAGGACAGTTCGTGGAACTTTCACATTCTGGCAGGCATCTGAGATTACTTGTTGGGGGCTAGGTAGTGCTGGTCTTATACTGTGCTCACTTCACAGCCCAGAAAAGTGACTTCCCTGAGGACCCAGAGTCTCTGCCCCACTGAATTGTGTCTGGCCTGTTCCGCCTAGGCAAGCATCCCCAGTCCCTCTCTCTGTTACTCTAGGACCCTTGCCTCAATCTCCCCCAGCTGACTCCCACGCCAATCTCAGATTCTCTGGCGTTTGGTCCGGGGGGAGAAACAGAGGCCCAGGGAAGAGTGGGGTGCAATTTGGCCCAGGCCACATGGTGGAATCATCAGACGCACTCCAGCCTCCAGGCCCCCAGATATCCCTCGTTCTTGCCCTTCTCTGGCCCTGATCGTGTCTCCGCCTCCCCAAGTCGTCCCTTCAAACTATGTCTCTCGCTCTCTGCCCCAGTCGCCGCTTCTGACAACCCAGCAAGCTGTGAGCACTTTGACTTCCCACCTCCACACGGTTGACCCAGGCCTCCCGGCCAACGGCGCCAGAATTCCCCATGGCCACCAGGGGGCGCGCGCGGCCTGGTCTGGGCGCCCGAGCCGCCGAAAGCCCATCCCACTCCCGGCTCCCCGCCCCGTCCGGCCACAGCCCCGCCCCTCTCCCGGCGCCCCGCCCCGTCCGGCCGCGGCCTCGCTTGCTCTGCTACCCCCGCGTCCAGGACCCCTGTGTTCCTGTCTCATCTGCTTGCTGGGTCCGACCATGGGCCCCACGGCTCGCCCCGCGCTGAGGTCGCCGCCGTCGCCGCCTCCTCCTCCGCCGCCGTCGCCGCTGTTGTTGCTGCTGCCCCTGCTGCCTCTTTGGCTGGGCCTGGCGGGGCCCGGGGCCGCTGCGGACGGCAGCGAGCCTGTGGCAGGGGCGGGACGGGGCGGGGCCCGTGCGGTGCGGGTGGACGTGAGGCTACCGCGGCAGGACGCTCTGATCCTGGAGGGCGTCAGGATTGGCCCCGAGGCCGACCCGGCGCCCCGGCTGGGCGGCCGCCTGCTGCTGGTGAGCGCCGCCGAGCCATCTGTCTCTGGTGCCAGTGTAGACCCGCACCCAGATCTGGCCTTCATTCTGGACCACTCCCTGGCAGCCCAGCGCCTCCTCCCCAGGCTGCCCAGGGGAGGAGCAGCATTCCGGTTTCCAGAACCTGAGACCCAGACGCCCTCCCCTCCAAATTCATTCCCAATCTCTGGCCTTGCATCTCCTGTGTGCCTGATCCGTCTCCTCCCCACCCCCACCCCCACTTCTGCCCATGGCCCCTCACCCCACAGATGGACATCGTGGATGCTGAGCAGGAGGTGCCCATAGAAGGCTGGATTGCAGTGGCGTATGTGGGCAAGGAGCAGGAGGCCCAGTTCCACCAGGAGAGTCAGGGCAGTGGCCCTCAGGCCTATCCCAAGGCTCTGGTCCAGCAGGTGCAGGGGGTGTGCGTGGGGAAGGGGGCTGGAGGAGGGGTTTTCAAGGCATTTGATAGAGCCAGACTATTAGGCGGGACCTTAAGGAGCTTCCAGAAAAGCCCTGGGCCTGGGTGAGGCAAGGGACCCCACTTTGGAAAACAGAGTCCTTATGGTGTGGAAATGGAGATGGGGGAGGCCTGAGAGAGTCAGGAAGCTCCACCTGGCTCTGAGAATATCCAATGGGGAATTCCTGCAAGGGGTCACTGGGCAGGCCTGCCCTGCTAGGACCAGAGAAGGAAGGGCATTGTTTGCATCCCACAAGCATTTGGGGGGAAGGCAGGAGGAATAAGGGTTTCTGTCCTTGACCTCAAGGAGCTTATAGCCAGTCTGTCCAGAGGAAGCACTCACTACAGTGCCAGGAGCTAAGAACAACTGTAGCAACAGGTGTGGGTAGGGTATGGGCTACCTTCTGCCTCTGTCCTGCAGATGCGGAGGGCACTTTTCCTGGGAGCCTCTGCCCTGCTTCTCCTCATCTTGAACCACAACGTGGTCCGAGAGGTAAATTTGATCAGGCTTCGGGGGCACACAAACTGGGGAACAGAGGAACAGTGCCAGCTGACCTCCCTGTTCCCCTACAGCTAGATATATCCCAGCTTCTGCTCAGGCCTGTGATCGTCCTCCATTATTCTTCCAATGTCACCAAGCTATTGGAGGCACTGCTGCAGTGAGTTGGGGTTTGGGCTTCAAAGGACTGGGCCTGGGAGCCTGGGTGCTATGGGTCCTTGGCTCTGTCATGGGCTCAGGGGGTCTCAGGACCACAGCCTTTCCTGTTAGCCTTCAGACTGTAGTCTCCCGGTCTGAAAAATGGGTGAGGAGACTGGAAGGAGGTACCAGGGCCTGGAGTGAAGAGGTGGCTCTGTGGGCAGAGGGGATTGGTTCCAGCAATGAGGAAGCCATATTCCTGATTGACAGGCTTTTCCCTGGACTTTTGGGCCTCCCTGGCCTGGCTGGTATGAGGATTGGAAAAACCAAAATCCACGGAAGGCATGAGGGCCAGAGCAGAAGGGCTACAGAGTGATAGTTGGGGGTATCCTTTTCCTACAAGGCTGGGTGGGAAGTGTGGGCCATCTCTCCCAAGAGCCCTTCCATCTGGCTCCTTGGCGGCTTTCCCTCCCAGGAGGACCCAGGCCACAGCTGAGATCACCAGTGGAGAGTCTCTATCAGCCAACATCGAGTGGAAGCTGACCCTGTGGACTACCTGTGGCCTCTCCAAGGATGGCTACGGAGGATGGCAGGACTTGGTGTGCCTGGGAGGCAGTCGGGCCCAGGAGCAGGTGGGTGCCCTGGGGGAGGAGGCTCAGGTGGGACCATACACATGCCTTGTCTCAAATCCTGTGGCCTCTCCCTACCTGGGTGGCAAGGACCACCATTTCCATCTCTCAGCGCTATTGTGAGTGTTCAGTGTGGTGCCTGACTTAGGATCAACGCACAATCAATGTTAGCTGCTGCTGTTATCATGTCATTCTCCTGCTCGGAGGCCTTCTTTGGCTCCCCATTGCCTGCAGAATAAAGTTCAGACTCCTTAACACGGCTTTCACAGCTCTCCTGATCACTCACTTATCCTGTTTTTTCCTAGTCTTCTTATATTCCGCCATCCTGTGCCATTTACTGGTTTTCACACATGCCCTGGTCTCCTGCCATTAAGCCTTATCCATGCTTGGCTGCAGGTATGGACACCATTTTTCTCTGTCTCCATATATCCCAGTCCAGCCAGAGTCCTCACAGCTCATTCTGCCTGCCTTCTTTGGAAAGCCTCCCTCATACCCTCAGCTCTCAGACCTCCCTCTCTCAGGCCCTTCATGGGCCCTTAGGACAGTCCATCCTATGTAAGTGTTGGAGAGCACGACTTTGTCTCCTGAAGGCCAGGGCTGTGTCTTACTTGTGTCTGGATTTCCCAGTGCTCAACATCGAGAGGGTTCAAAGGTATTCTGTCTGCAAGTGTTTCTCAAGTCCCTATTCTGTGCAAGGCCGGCATGCCCCAGTCTCCTAGTGCGCAGCCTCTAGCAAGTGTCAGGAAGACTTGGGTTCAAATTCAGTCTCTGAAGCCTTAGCTGAGTGATCTCAGGCTGAGCGTTTAACCTCTCTGGTCTCATATTCCTCATTTGTGAACAGGGACATCACATAGCCATAGGATTGTCAGGGAATTGTGTATGTAGGCTCATAGTGGGCACTGAGCAAATGGGCAGCTGCAGCTACTCTGAATCTTTATCGTTATAAGTGCTTGAGTAAGTCAATGGTCACCAAATAACTTTTGAGATCCTAGGATACTTGAGGCTCTATGAGAAGGGCTATGGATGGTACAAAAGGCTGTAAGACCTGGGCTCTGACCTCAAAGACAAGCGGGGAAAAGGAACTTTTGGCAGTTCAGCCTAGATAGCACGTGCTAATTCCTGTGAGCAGCACAAACCACAGTTCTGTGGAGGGAGCAGACACTGAGGCTGGGGATTGGAAGGGCTTTCTGGAAGAGAAGAGAGCCTCACTGTATCTCCCCCTGGAGGGCAGCCCACACAAACCTCTGGGTGGGTCAGGAATTTGATGAGGGGGCTGTCAGATGAGAGGCTGGGAGGAGGGGCGGGCAGAAAGGCTTGAACTAGGAGCAGGCAGGGAAAGGGCCCAAGAGGCTTTGAGGTGGGAATAACAGTCTGTAGGCCCGTCTGGCTGGTACAGAGGGCAAAGCTGAACAGCCATACTGCCGTCCAGGGTGGGCTGTGCAAGTGTTGGGTGGCCATTGTACCTGAAGTGTCTGAAGGACGGCTGAGGCCAGTGCTCAGCCCTGACCCCAGGGCCCAGTCATCACCCCTCCAGCCTCTGCTAATCCAGAGCTGCAGCACCAGAGCACCAGAAAGGTCCCATGATCCACAGCCTTACTGTTCTGATGTACAAGCCCCAATCCTGCCCTCCCTCTTCACCTGGAGGTCTCCAAGATGCACTGAGCCTGGGAAGGCTGGGTCTCAGGCCTACAGGAGAGCTCCAGGCTGGCCACACCCTCGGCCCACCCAGTGGTCACTGGTCGCTGCAGAGCACGGAGCTCCAGGTTCTGCCCTGGAGAGCTTACACTGTAAAGGCCACTCTGAATCCTGTCAGGTGTCAGCCTGGCTCAGCATGGCAGGGGTCACAAGGACAGAGCAGCTCCGGCCCTGGGCTCAGGGGACCCCATCTGGAGAGGAGATAGGCCAGAGACACTGTCATTCTGCTGGGCTGAGCGTTGAACTGGTGTTGGGCACGGGCCCTCTGGGGCATAGTGAAGGCACCTGAGCTTAGGGGTGTGGAGAGCTTCCTGGGGCAGGTGCCACCATTCCACCACGAATGAAAGGCTGATGGGGACACAAACCAGCAGAGAGAGGGTGGGATAGAATGGGGAGCTGGGACTCACAGACACCTCTCAGCAGTGGCCCCCAGAGTACCTCTGACGTGAGCAAAAGCAATATCATGACACCAGCAGCACCCAACTTTGTCCAGAATGGTGGCCTCTTTTAACATTAAATAATTTCTCGTCCCCTCTTCCCCCACATGATGGTGGTTGAACTCAGCATTGGCAGGGGAAGAACATGATGACAAAATGCTACTAGGAATGCAGAAAGCTTTTAAGTGAATGTGTTTATTAGTCATAAAACACCCACAGACCGGGTGAAATGGGCCTGTGTGGGTGAGGTGTGCCTATGTTGTGAGCGGGCCGGTTTTTGCTTACACAGCCACATCATTTCCTCAGCCAGCTGTTTAGTAGTCAAAGCCTAGCTGCCATACTGCATAGGATGGGAGTTAAGTCAGTGCAGCCCCCCGGGGCCTCTCAAAGACTAAGTGAGGCATGTCAGATGGGGTTTTCTCCCTCCAATGGGACCACCAAGGGCAGCAGCAAGGAAACACAGGTTTAGAGTAGGCGGGTGGGGTGCACTTGCCCAGCCCTAGTGGTCAGGGAGAGCTTCCAGAGCAAGGAGCATCCAAAGGCATTAGCCAAGCGAAGGGACAAGGAAGAAGAGAGCTCCCAAGAGGGGAACAGTGTTTGGAAAGGTACAGACATGGGAGGGGGCAAGGAACGGATGCTGAGAGGAGGGAGGGAGGACCTTCAGGGCAGGCTGGAGGAGTTTGGGTTTTCTCCTGAAGGCAGGGATGGGGGAGGGAAGCGTCACAGGGAAGGATGTCAGCCAGGGGTGCTGCATGATCAAGTCTGCAAGGTGAGCCGCCAGGGGCTATGGTGGGAAATGGATGGGTGAGTCTGGAGAGGAGGGACATGAGACCCCTAGGAGAGCGAGGCAGCAGGGCCTGGGGACTGGTGCCCTCTCAGCCTGGATGGAGGTGTGTGTGTGTGTGTGTGGGGGGGTGATAGGGACTAGAAAGCAGATCAGAAATGCAGCTTAGGGATGGGGGTGGGAAGGTGACAGGGCCCTGGGCTGGGGTGTCTGTGAGGCTGCCAGATAGACACTTTCATGAGTGCCAAAACATCAGGTTTGTTGCCCAGGAGAGGCCTGGGCTGGGGACAGATGTGGGTTGCCTCACTGTGTAGGGTGGAGTGAAGACAGCTGGAAAGACCCTGGGACGGAGGCTTCAGAAGAGGAAGCAGGGAGCCTAGTGCCGATGGACCTCCCTTGCCTGGTCCTTAGAAATTTAGTGGGGGAGGAGGATGGGGCGGCCCCAGCATCCTTGACACCCTGCTCCCCTCCCCAGAAGCCCCTGCAGCAGCTGTGGAACGCCATCCTGCTAGTGGCCATGCTCCTGTGCACAGGCCTTATGGTCCAAGCCCAGCGGCAGGCATCAAGACAGAGCCAGCAGGAGCCAGGAGGCCAGGTGGGAGTCAGCCCAAGGGAGTCCCAGTGCCCTCAGCCCTCAGGCCTGCCAAACTGTTCCTGTCCTCCCCCCACAGGTGGACCTGCTCAAGCGCCGTGTGGTACGGAGACTGGCATCCCTTAAGACCCGACGCTGCCGGCTGGGCAGAGCTGCACAGGGTCCCCTGGAGCCTGGTGCTGAGACCTGCGCTGTGTGTCTGGACTACTTTTGCAACAAGCAGGTGAGTGCCCTGGGCAGAGGCCAGCTATTGGCTGATACGTGATGAACTGACTCCCCTCCCCCCGAGAGAGAGAGAGAGAGAGAGAGAGAGACACACACACACACACACACACACACACACACACACACACACCCCACCCCCCACCTCCCCAAAAGATCTTGGAACCATCCTCACCAGCACTACAGAAAGCAGAATGGCCAGGGGTAGGGGCAGGTCACAGTGGCTTTAGTTCCCAGCTCAGATAAGGACATGGGGCCAGGCACCCCCACCTGGAGGCCCACCACTGTGGCCTGAGCCTTTTCCCCTTACCCCACAGTGGCTCCGGGTGCTCCCCTGTAAGCATGAGTTTCACCGAGACTGCGTGGACCCCTGGCTGATGCTCCAGCAAACCTGCCCACTATGCAAATTCAACGTCCTAGGTGAGCATCAAGGGTGGGGCCATTGGCTGGCTCTACCTGGTCCCCACCTGATGCCTTCCTCCCTGTTCTTTTTCCTTCTCCCTGCAGGGAACCGCTACTCAGATGATTAGCTGCCCCAGCTGGGTCTCTATACATGTGGATGGGACCCTTCCCGCCTGCACCCTGGCCCTTGGCCTGGGCTCTTGGAATGGGACAGCAGATGGTCAGGAGAGAAAGCCCTGTGGGTGGGAGGAAGGATAGGGCCTCCCCTGCTGAGGAGCAACGTGCCCCACCACATCCACCCTGGGAAGGAGGGGCTGCAGCCCCCAGGCTGAGGATGCAGGACCTGGACCTGCTGGAAAGAGAGGAAGAGAGGCCCCTTTGGGGCCCTTCTGTGCAATCGTGGGGTGTCCGTGTCTGCCCTCCTTGCAGGCAGCTCCCAGGACCCTGGGCAGGGGCCTGGGAAAAGAGGGTATATGGCAGTGCAGCTGTTCCCAGGGCTCTAGGAGCTCTCTGGCCTGCCTGTCAGGACATCCCAGGGGCTAAGGCTGCAGTGGCCAGGTTTCATGCTTATTTATTGGGAGTGGGGGGTTGGGTGAGGAACTGTTTAGCCTCAGGGGCACCTTGGTGTGACCATCTTTTAGGATATGTCTTGGTCAGGCAGTGATGTTAAACCTAAAGGCTTGCTGCCCTCGGTCCTTGGGTACTGGGAGCCACGGGTCCCTCTGTCTATCCAGCTGGACTCCTTCCCTGGGCCTGGCTGGGACCAGAGGCCTTAGAAACCATCCAGTCTTCTTGTGCTTTTTGGTGGGGCTCCGGACCGCTGACCAGGATACTTGAAGCCACAAGATAAATGTTGTGCATCTTCCAGGGGCATCCATTTTTTTAAAATTGTTTTTAGAAGATTTGGGGTAGAGGAGGTTTAATATTAAAATAAACATGGATATATTTTAACATAAGAAGTAAAATTTGTGTGGATGTTTTAAGATTAAAAAACAAGTCACCAGCCTGGCCGAGTGGCTCAGTTGGTTAAGAGTGTGATCTCTGAGCAACAGGGTTGCTGGTTCGATTCCCACATGGGCCAGTGAGCTGCATCCGAGCTGAGCTGCAGCTGGCTCGCCCATCCGCAACTAAGATTGAACACGGCACCTTGAGCTGAATGGGCCGGAAGCTGCCAACAGGCAGCCGGATGGCAACTGGACTTGGAGCTGAGCTAGCTGAGCCCTCCACAACTAAGATTAAAGGACAACAACTTGGCTGTTCCCCTTCCCCAATTCCCCCCAAAAATCTTTAAACAAAAACAACAAAAAAGTCACCTTGGTCTCTACTGCCTGTGGGAAGTGGATTCTACAACGACCCCCAAGATTTCCCCCAGACCCCATAAACATGCCTTGTATAATACTGGAACTGTGACTCTAATGGATTTGACTCCCGTGATTAGGTTATATTATATGGCACAGTGGACTTTGAGAGAGAAAAGTATCCAGGTGGACCTAACCTAGCCACATGAGAAATTCTTTGTTGCTGACTTAAAGATGGAGGTGGTAAGGAAGGCGGACAGTCTCTAAGAACTAAGAGTGACCAGCAAGGATACAGACCTCAACCTACAGCAGCAAGAATCAGAATCCTGCCAACAACCAAATGAGCCTGGGTTCTTCCCCAGAGCCATCAGAACAAAATGCAACCTGGCAGATACTTTGATTTCAGCCTTCTAAGACCCCGAGCAGAGAATCCAGCCACACGGGGCCTGGACTTCTGACCTAACTATGAACTAATGAATGGATGCAGAGAGGAGCTGAGCTGTGATGGGTCCTTCTCCTGCACTTGGGCCCAGGCCTCCTGCCTCAGGGAACCCCAGCCTCACGGCTGGCTCTCACCTGAGAGGGGCGGGGCCAGCGCATCCCAGCCTTCCTCAGGAAACTCTGGGCTCCACAGGAGCAAGAGTTGGGCAGACCCTGGCCATGCCAGTTCAGCTGATACCTGGCCCCTCTTGACCCTTCTCTCTAAACTGGGACACACTACCTGCTGGCCTCACCAGGATAAAATGTCATGGGAAGCTAGGAGCGCCCACCCTGAGAAGTCCTCAGCAAGGTCTTAGGGCCCGTCCCTCACAGACAAGGTGACTCAGGGCAAGCTGGAGCCTTGTGAGGATAACTGGACTGCTATGGGTCTGGTGTGGCTGGTGGCATCAGGGCCTGGGCCCCAAGGAATAGGCCTGGGGAAGCCAAGGCTGGCTGGGGCGTCCCACCCTCTGGTTGGGTGAGGCCTTGCCCTGCCTTCAGTGGCCTCCTGGGGATCTGACCTGGATTTAGAGAAATCCTTTGTGACTCACATTTCCTGAAAGTGAAGAGTTCCTCAGGGAAAGGAAAGCTGCCTTTTTGGGTCCTTCATGTCCCCATCCCCAGGTTCAGAGCCAGGGTGGGAGGCCCCAGGTTTGGACCCGGGGCTGGGGACGGCATTGCTGTCTCTGCCTGTCTCCAAGAGCCCAGAGCCAGAACCCCAGTCTCTGACTCCTTTCTTGCCTTAGATATCCTCACTGGGCCCACCTTGAGCTGCCCTCCTTCCGCTGCACACCCCCTACATTGACATTGCCCTTTATTGGTGGGGGGGGGGGTCACTGAGTCCATGCTACCCTTTGGCCCTGCCATGGGGATTGAAAGACTGCCTTTCACCTGGCCCAGGTGTTAGAAGCTGCTTTCTGTCCTCGGTGTGCCCTCTGTTCCCATTGCCCCTGTCAGGAAGCTCCCGTTTACTGAGGATCCACCAGGTGCCAGGCCTCTGCTGGTGTATGGCCTGCATGGCTGGGGACTCGGTGGTCCCTGCCCAGGATAGGGAAGGAAGGACTCTGTCCCTGGCTCAGTGCTGAGGCCAAGGTCGCTGTGGGTAGATGGCCAGGGCTTTATTACATTGGGTGGGTTGCCAGCCACCTGCCCTCCAGCCACATCCCACTATAGGCTACATGGGCCGCCCGTGGGGCTGGTGCATAGGGCCGGCCGGGCCCTGGCTTGGTGACAGTCTTCTCCTCAGCCTAGCCAAAGCCCGGATGGGGTTCTGGGCACAGGCAGTCGCGTGGGTCACATCCTCTAGGGAGGACTTGCTGATCCGGCCACAGGGCTGCTGAGGTGGGGATGCCCGGGGCTGGCCAGGCAGGGTCCTGCCTGCACTGGCCATCCTGCTGCCAGGTAGGTGCTGCCTACCCAGAGGCCTGAGGGAAGACCAGATATAAGAGCGAGGGGAACCAGTCCAGCCCCTGTCTGCCCCACTTCTGGCAAAGCCTCACTTACCCTGGGGATGCTCTCTGGGCCTGGGCTGGGGGCACTGCTCCCTGGATTCCCTGGCTGGGAAGGGCCCAGAGCTGGTCCTGCGGGATCAGCTACAAAGAAAGCCAAGTTCAGAAAGGCCCAGGAGTCCCCTTCCCACTGTTCAGAGAGGGTATAATAGCCAAGGAGGGGCAGGGAGGGCCTAAACTGTACCAATGGCCCCTTCTTCTGAGGGGCAGGGTTTGGGAAGCCTTCGAGGGCAGCCTCAGCTGCAGTAAGTGTGGGAAGGTTTGCTTTCTGACAAGGCTTCTGGTTGCACTTGGAATGAAAGTACAAAGGGCCAGAGGGGGTGAGGGGTGTGTGTGGGGGGGGCAGGTTGGAGCTAGAAAGGCACTGTAACATCCTCATGCCCTCTTAATGTGGAAGATGTTTCACAACAGCTCAGCCTAAAGCCACATCCCACGAGGCTCTCAACAGGTTCCCGGGGTGGGGTCTGAAGACCTCTGCTGGGTCAGGAGCCTCCTCCAAGTCCCCAAGGGCTAGCCACTCAGGGAGGGAGCCAGGCTGCCCACCTTGAGGCCCCCCTGCTGGGCTGCCTCCCGAATTTTGGACAACATCGACTGGAGCCGCCCATTCTCCTCCTGCAGGACCCGGATGCGGATGTTGTTGGCCTGCACCTGCCTCTCCATGTCATCCGTGACATTGCCGGAGGCTGTGGGGACACACTATTTGGCACCTCACCGCACCAGGCCTGCCTCTTGTGCTCAACAGGACAGGACCTCTGGGGGCAGGCATGCCAGCTGGGGTGTACTTTGGGTTGATGGCCCAGCACACACAGGGCAGCTGGGCAGGGTCAGTGCATGGGGCCTCACTGGGCCTCGCATCTCATCTTCCTTCTCCTGAGGCCCTGTCCCCACTCCCAGTCCCCCTACCTGCTGGAAGGTGACCACAGCATTAGAGAATTTGAGAGTTGGGTGGGACTTAGAGCTCAGTGAAGACTTAGACAAAAGAGTGAATCTCTTCCAAGGCCACCTGCTTTTGGAGGGCCAGAGAGACAGCGAGTTGGCCAGTACCACTGCCACTCTTGGGTATGAGTCAGGAATACAGCAAGGACGTTCTTTCTCACCACTCGGGGGATGGATGCTTCCTTCCTGCCCTCTCTGATTCTGTTTCCTGGTTTGTAAAAAGAGGCTGCTACCTGCCTGGCAGGGCAGCTGAGAGGGCCACAGGAGGGCCTGGCACATAGTCAGCACTCAGGGATGATGACTTATCATGACCAGTTACATTGCAGGGGATCTTCCCTATGGCTCTGCGAATGGATTAGTGCTTTAGAGGGCTGGAAGGGCTGAGATGAGAACCTAGGTGGCTTGGCATCCAGTCCTCTGTCAAGACTGGTCCCTAGCACTCCAGTGCCATGAGGTCCAGGACACCAGACAGTTGGGGCTGTGCCCCTAGAACTGGCCACATGGTATGGTTTGGGGAGATGCCAGGGCAGGGGACACAGGGAAGCTGAGCAAGAACTGGCATGTGACGTGGTGATGAGCACAAGCTACAGAGGCAGCCAGACCTGTGTCTGGATTCAGCTGTGTGACTGTGCGCAGTCACCTCACCTCTGGGTTTCCATGTTCCCATCTACACAGAGGAGTAGATAACACTGGAAGCACCTGCACGTCGTGGGGACTCTGTAGGGGCCAAACTGCTGACCGTCCTGGCTCTACCACCCTCACTGCAGGCTGGGGAGCTGCAGACCCCAGTGTCCTGCCTGCCCCAGGCCCCGGTGTGCCCTGTGTACCAACCCAGGGCCCTTACTTTGGACCTGGGCCTCGACAGGTCTATGCAGGTCTGGGAAGGTCACCAGCAGCCGCTCCTGCTCCTTCAGCTCCACGAGCTCCAGTTCCAGCTCCGAGATGGTCAACTGCAGATCTGTCATCGCCTGCTCCAGGCCTTGCTTCTCCCCCTGCAGGCTCTGCAGCAGCTCCTGGGACAGAGGGAGGCTCAGACCTGGCCCACAGAACAGCTCCTGTCTTCCCTAAAGACACCCACCCTCTCCACTCCTCAGACATGGGACAGGCCCACAGGCACTCAGCCGGCTGGAGGCTCCTCTGGTGAAAAGGAAGTCTCCCTTACACCCTCCCGCTGCCCACTCCTACCTGCTGGGCCCGGAGCTGGCACTGCCCCTGCTCCCTCTCACTCTGCACACTCTGCAGCTGCTCCTCCACATGGGCCCGCTGGGCCTCGGCCTCGTCCAGACTGCCCCGAAGCTCCTCGCGCTCCTGGTCCAGGCTGTCCAGCTGCTGTAGCAGGGCTCGCTGTTTGGCCTGCAGGGACTGAGCCGGGATGGGCAAGCAGGGAGGCCATGAGGCCCACAGGGCTAGGCCTAGCCACGTGGGACTAAGGAGGCTATAGTATCTGTGATCCCACCCCCAAACCCTCCCTGTTGTGCTGCATCTGTCTGTGTGGGGGGAGGCTATGTATACACGTGGAAGGCAAGGGGCAGAGGGAAGATGGCAGCAGGGAGACACACCCCCCGTCCTGGTCAAGTCAAGGCTCCCCAGCTTGCAGGTTCTGCCCCCTTAGAAAGCAGTTGGCTGACTATCGGCCTCATTCCCACTTCTCCACTCAGAGAGGAATTCTAAGAAATGTAATTTTCTTCTACCCCTTAGGTCTCCAGAGTCCCATCAGCCCATGTCACTTGGAACCCACATTTCCTGACACCCACAGAGTGTGAAGCAAAAAGAACCAACCCAGGCCATCTCTGGGTCCTGGGTTCACCTCTGGCTAGCTGTGTGGCCTTGGGCAATTTCCTTAACCTCACTGAGTCTCAGTTTCCTTATCCAAGAGTACCTGCCTCCTACTCTAGTGGTGAGGAGGAAGAATAAGAGGACTGCAGAGGCTGAGCCCAGTGCCTGGCTTACAGAAGCCACCTGATGTGTGGCGACTGTGACTATTTGCTGGGCACTGAGAAAAGCACCTGCGTGGGGCTGAAAGGCTTTCCCATCCTGGGCCATGCCTGGCCCTGAGGGCTTCCACCTGGAATCGTGGCTCCCCGCCCAGCCAGGATAGCCCCTAGATCTGCCCCCTCTCTAGGTGGCAGGTGTGACAGGTCACTCGCTCCCTCAGCCACGCCATTGGGGACTCCTACAAGGCTCCACTGCCCACCACAGCTGTATCCTGGGCCCTCTGCCCTTTCTAGCCCTCCTCTTGCTGATGGACTAATCACCAGCCATTGGCATCCAGTTCAAAAGCCACCTCCTCCCAGAAGCCTTCCTGGATTCCCATAGGCAGATGTGACTGTCCCTTCCAGAACCCCTGCAGCATTTTCCCTGCCTCTCTTAGCCATCCGGCAGAAAAGTTGTGGTGGCACAACTGCTTGCCCTTGCCAGGTTCCTTCAGAACAAGGCTTCCTTTGGCCATATCTGTCCCTGGGTCACCATTCCCCCAGTTCCTGGATCAGAGGAGGACTCAGACCTCCATAAAGGTGAATCACACCAAAACCAGGGAGTGTGTTGGGGAGCAGATGCCTTACACAGATAAACCCCACCTCCCACCAGACCCATCTCTCCCTGCAGCCTACGTTGCAGGTGCCCAGGGTGCTGGCAAGGCCCCCGACCTCACCTCCTGATGGCGGACCATGCTGTCAATGCGGGCCTTCTCCTTGTCCAGCTCTGTGTTGGCCCAGCAGATCTGTTGGTTGGCCCCGTCCAGCCGCCCAGCCAGCAGCTGCACCTGCTCCTCTAGCTGCTGCACCTGCCTCTCGGCCTCTGCCCTGCGCTCAGCCTCCTCTTGCAGCTGCTGGGCCTTTGTCTCTGCAGGATGGAGCAGTCATGGGAAGGGATAGGGCAGGGGAGCCCTGGATGCAAGTCCCTGCACTGCCTCTGAGCCAGGATGGGACGGAGTGGGGAGGAGGGTGTCACAGCACATCTCTGGGCCTCAGTGTCATCAGCCACAAAATGGGGCTCTGAACCCTGCCTAAGGTGGGTTCTGAAAATAGAAGGTGGTAGCCCAACTTGGGTCATTACCCAACAATATGGCTGCCCACCCTCTTTGTGGTTCCCTTTGTCTTTGCCCCGGAAGCCCAGGGCACAGAGACAGAGGGTGCTTGTCCTGCCGTACCACTGAATACAGGGCACATGGCATGCGGCTGTATGACAGGGCTCCTCACCCACGGCCTTCGTGGTCTCCTGCTGCTGCTTCAGCTCCCTCTCCAGGGTGGCCACCTTCATCTTGAGGTCACTGGTTTCTGTGCAGCCAAGAGAGAGAGTCCCTTCAGAGGTTTCCTTGGGCCTGGCCGGTGGCCTTCCTGCCCAGTGGTGACAGCCATCACCATGTGGAGGGGCCACGTGGTTTGCGGGTGAACTCTGGGGAGGTGTCAGGAAGCCTGCTTGCTTCCTATTGGCTGGTTGCCATGTCTGTATATCTCTCTGGGCCTCAGTGTCCTCCATGGAAGTGACTGAGGCTCAAAAGGGCAGTCAGTGACTTGCCCAAGTCCCTCCGACCTCACATCAGCAGGCACTGGCTGACTTCTAGTGCCAGTGCTATATCTCTTTGTCTAACGGCTTTCACCAAAGCCCAAGAGGCCATTTTACTGGCTGGAGGTGCCAGGGGAGCAATCTTCCCCAGGAGTCACCTTTAGTGACTGACAGGAATGAGTGGATGAGCCCCTCGGCGCTCTCACCCCTCTAAGGAGATAACTCTGAGGCACGTGTTCTACACCGGCTCCAGTGTTCCCGACTGGATTAAGCCCCAGTTGCCGGATGGTTCGATGAGTGCACCCTCTTTTGCTGCCTTCCTTTCCCTGTGTCTCTGGCCCACTCCCCAGTCCTGGTTACTTCCACACCGACTACTTGTACTGCAGCCCTGTCGTGGGATCTGCTTGTGGGAGAGCCCAAACTAAGGCTGTAGCAGGGTCCCGGGCACTAAGGGTCCGGCTTCTGGGACACAGACCTGCGAGCAGCTGCTGCTTGTCATGCTCCCATGTGGCCAGGAGCTGTTGGGTCTCATCCGCCTGCCGCTGTCGCTCCCCCTGCTCCTGCTGCAGTGTCTGCTCCAGCTCGCTCACCTGCTTCCTCAGTGAATCCTTCTGCCCCTCAGCCTCCTCCAGCTGGGCCCTGAGGGGCCCGACGAGCTGATTGAGGGCCCCCACATGCTTACTGAGGCGCGTCAGGTCTTTGCTCTGCTCTGCTGCCCAGTGGCCCACAGCGGCAGCTGGCAGTGGCCTGAGCCCCATGCTGTCCTGCACCAGCTGCTGGAACTGGTCCAAGGATGAGGGCAAGTTCTGGCTCTGACACAGACTAATGACCACCTTGCCTACCTCCCGCAGGCTGCCCTGGACACTGGTGCATGCATCACAGGGCACCAGGGCCGTCTCCACAGTCTGGGAATGGGTACTCCTGGTATCCTCAGTGGTCCTGGCTGGAGACTGCAGGGAGACTATGATGGGGAGGCTGTCCAGCTCTTGGCAGGGCTGGGACAAGCCTGGCATTGGGGAGCGGGGCTTGATGAACTTGGCAGTCAGAAATTCAGGGCTCCTGGATGGCTCGCCCTTGGCTGTGGGCTTGGAGGTGGGGGTCTTCCCTTGGGTTGCCCTTTTCTGTGGTCAGGAAAAGAAAGGGAAAGCAGGTGAGGGAGATGGGCCTGGGAGGTGAACACTTCCCTGGGGATTTCTGTGACAGCCTCTCCTAATGCTCAGACCTTCAGATGTTATCTAACACCCATATGAATGAGAGCAAACCTTGTCTTTTCTTTTCACTGCCTCAAGTTACCAAGCCCAGGCCTCTTCTCTGCTGCCCCTGTCCCAACCCACCCCCTGACCCTAGCTCAGTGCAGTTACATACGTGGCTGGGAAAGTAACAGTGACAGACCCAGTTGCCGGTTACTGGGCTTTTGCTTAGTGGACTTGCCTTTTCTCGTGTCACTGTAGTCACTCTCAGTTTTAGTCTGCTCTCCATCATGGTGATAGTGGTCCTTCCCACTAGGTGGTTGTGAGGATTATGGGATAACACATAACAAATGGTGCTCATATTTACACTATTACCTAACAATGCCCTGAGAGGTAGGGACTGGCATTACTCCCACTGTACAGATGAACATACTGAGGTTCAGAGTAGGTAGGATTTTTCCAAAGTCCCACAGTGTAAAGAGCAGAGCCCAGCAGCCCAGACATGCCTGCCGTGGCCCGTGTTGCTAACTGCCAAGCTGCATGGGCCTTGATTAGGAGGCTCCAGAGTCGATACCCTCCTTTGGGCAGCAATGGATGCAGTGCCCACATGGTGAGCTAAGAAGCTGGGGCAGTGTGGACTGGTGTGAAGGTGACCACAGCTGGGGAATGGGGGTTAGATGACCCACCTGGCAGGAAGCCTGCTGGTAGAGCATGCTCAGCTTCAGCAGACTATTCCAGAAGCGCTGTACTGTGAGCCCCACAGACATGCAGATTCCTGCAGCCCGGGCAGGGGGCACTGTCTGCTCCGAACCAAAGTTCTCCAAGTAGCTCCCACAGCTCTGAAGTAGCAGCAGGAGCCTGCGGGCAGAAACAGCAGGGTCAGCTAGGACACAGCCCAGTGCCAGTGTGCCCTCATGCCACATAACTGGGAGCCTATGGCTCTGGGGAACTGGCACAGGAATCAGGGACTTGGAGCGCCTTAGAATATGCTCTGCCAGGCCAGCTTCAAACCCAACCCCAGAGCCACTTCTTCCAGGAAGCCCTCCCTGAGGGCTGAGCTTGGGGGCCTCTTCTGGGCCTCCTGGGTGACAGCACTTCTGCCTGACTGTTCCCCAGTGGACCAGGATGCTCTGGGAGGCTGGGCCCTGCCTCAGTTGCATCCTGAGTGCTTGGAAAGTGCTGGATGAGTGGCTGCCTAACATCATGTGGCTGACAGCCTTCACCTTACAGAGGACAGAGCTGAGAGCCAAAAGGGGAGGAGCCTGTCCACAGCCTCAGGGTGAGTGTGCAGGGCAGGGGTGCCCTGCAGTTTCCTGATTCTAGTCAGGGGCTTCTCCTGCAGGGTGCTTCCATGGCAACAGAAATGTGGAGTGACTCTTCACTAGATCTCTATCCTAAGCTCAGAGTTCCAAATTAGAGTCAGGGGCTAATTTTAAGGCAATGGAGTGTTAAAAAGGTAAGTTTGTATTTGCATGGGAACCAGGCTATTTTAATGGAAGAAATACTGTGTTTACAAAACATACCAGGCAGATAAGTGACCTTCTCTTGTTTCACATGCAGGGAGGGTCTCAGGCAGAGAGGGCCTGGGGGAGGAGGTGTCAGCCACCTCCAGGCCCTGCCCCTCTCTGGGCCATGGTGTCCTCCTCTGTAAATGGGGACAACTGTGCCTGTTGCAGTGCTGAGCAGCATTGGGGGGTGGAAAAGGACAAAGCACGACCTTGACAGAGCACTCTCTGTATTCATACAGGCAGACCCTCAAAGTGAGAGACTGCTGTGCTGCCTGCATTACTTTCATCCTTAGTCATACGCATATAATTCCATCCCTGACATGAACTGAGCACCTCCTCTAAATGCTATATCCTAAGCCGGTGACCATGGCCCTGTCCTCCAGGGTTCCCAGGCTGCTCTAGGTCTCAGACCCAGTGGTCTCTACCAGGAGTTATGTACACACATAGAATCCCAGGGGAGGCTCCACCTACCTCAGTCACAGGAGGGCAGAGGGGTTCAGCAAGGGGTGGGAATACATGTCAGCAACAGCTTCAGAGAAGGGGGATGGGTGAACTGGGCCTTGACAGATAAATGGGGCTTGGCCAGACCAGGAAGAGGTGGGCAGGGCACTCCTAGCAAAAACCACAGCATGTGCAAAGCCAGGAGGAAGGAAGGGGTGTTCTGTGCTTACAGGTTCAGCCCCTCACGGGTTCCAAATGGTGCTTTTACACTGAGGGCACCTCCAGGCCTCTAAGTGGTTACTCTGGCTTCTTTGCCCCCAAGCAGGTCATCCCCAAGCTGCTGGGGTCCCTGTCTGTCAGGCCCCCATGACTTCATTAGTGTGTAAAGTTTTGGAGCACAGGGAACCTGAATTGAGATCTGCAGGAAGTGGAAGACTAATGACCATGTTAACGTTAATGACAGTGTAGAAACAGTGGGGGTGTGGGAGAATCCACTGGCCTCTTCCCAGCAGGGCCAGAATTTGGAAAAACACATCCGGTGTCTGGCCCCATGACATACAGTGGGGACAGCACAGCCCACAAGACGCCAGGAAAAAGAACCTGGGATAGAAACTCTGAACAGCAGCTGTGCTATCTCCAACACACAGAAACCCTGAGGAGGCAGCTAGCAGCAGCCGGAGAGGTAGTGGTAAGAGCTGGGGTGCCACAGAGACCAATATGGTGGTCAGCATCTCCCTGAGGAGGATAGGATAAGATAGGATAGGATAGCATAGTCCACAACATCAAGTGAGATCACTGTGAGGGCCCTGAGCTGACCTGGCCCCCAAAAGTACTGAGTCAAAGGTGATAATTGTTACCAATATCATCACCACTGCTGGAGGGGGATCCCAAGGCTACTACTGGTTTAAGGGGTGGGTGCCAGCATCTCAGGGTCACCAGATTTGGTCAAGGCCCTTACCTGTCGATGACAAGTTCCAACAGCACAGCATGGGACAGCTGTGTGAACTCAGGGTCACCTGGCACGTGGTCATAGTGCTCTAGCAAGGCCACCATGTCCAGGTCACAGGCCACGCGGTCAGGAAACTTCCAGGAGAGAAAGCGCATGGGTCCGGCACGGGAAAAGACATCTACGATGGTGCCCTGCAGGTCGGTGAGGTCCTTGCGCAGGCTGTCCATGCAGGCCTGGCTGCCTAGCAGGTGAGCCATCCTCACGGCTCCTAGGGTGGGCAGAGAGAAGCCCTGTTAGCCAGAGCCATGTGGCCACTGCGGGAGGAAGCTTCCTGAGACCCCCTATTTGACCAGATGCTCCTAGGCTCAAGTGCATCTTAGACCCTGGGGAGAAATCTGCTTATTGGCCCCAGATTACCTGGCCCTTCGGAAGCTGGTTGTGGGTGACTTTGCCAGCCTCCCTCTCACCCACCCTACCCAACACCTATACTGCTGATTCCATTGTTCCACAAGTATTTCCAAGCACCTGTGTATGCCAGACCCCTGCTGGGTGAATACATCTGTGAATGAGAAGGTACCTACTGTCCTTCCCTCCCAGAGCAAACCATTAAACAGGCAACTGACAACTGAAAGAAAGGCTGTAACACAGCGTGTCTGGGAGTGCTGGGCCATACCACACCACTGTCATCTCTTGGCTACACCACTGCAGTAGCTTCCAGCTGGGCCACAGAACTGCCTGCCCCAATCTCATCTACTTCAGCTCCAGAGATCTGGGCCAAACCTTATCTGATCACTTCACACTGGTCAACAACCGCTCAGGACTCCCTGTGGCCCTTGGGAGAAAAGGCCTCCTCTGGCTGTGTCCCTCCCCACTCCCTCTCGTCTCCCCCTCTCTCTGCTCCATACTCACCACTCCCACCACTGTCAGCTGCAGAGCAGCTCATTCACAGGCACTGGTTTCCGCATCTATTCCCATCTGTCCCCTCTATGTGAATTGTGCTTCCCCCATCCAATTCCCATCACCTGGTTAACTCCTCTTATCCTTCAGGGTTCCTGGATATCACCTCCTACAGGAAACTTTTCCTGAGCACCCTTCAGGCTGGGTTAGGTAACCCATTTCAGCCCTGATGGCTTGGCTGGAATAGCCTCCCCTCTCCAGGCCAGGTCCTCAGTTCACATGAGTCACTGTGGTATGCCCAGTGTGGCCAGCCTGGGGCCTGGCTCATGGTACATGCTCATTGGCAAGTGAATGACTGAGTAATTGAATGGAGAAAAGAAAAAAATGCACAAAGAAATTTGAAAATACATTGATTTGGGGAGGAGGGACGGGGAGACAAGTCTTAAGGTATAAGAGAGGAAAACCTGAAAAATCTGTAATGATATTTAACCTACAGGGGGCCCATTATATACCGTATTTCCTCATGTAGAAGACATACCCTTTTTTGAAAAATTTGGGGTCTAAAAACTGGGTGCTTCTTATACAGTGGTTGAATGAGCGCAAAAAAACAAGCGCAAAACAAGTGGGAAATGCAAGTAAAAAAAATCTACAACCACTGTATAAGACGCACCCAGTTTTTAGACCCCAAATTTTTCGAAAAAGGGTACGTCTTATACATGGGGAAGTACGGTATTGATCCAGCGAGCCCCAGCCCTGCCCTTCCTGGCTTTGTGGCCTCAGGAAAGTCAGTGCACCCCTCTGAGCCCCAGCTGCCTCAGTTGTAAGATGGGGTCCTTGTTCCCAACCAGGCTGGGTGGTTGTGAGGCCTTTAAAGGTGTCAACAAGTAAAGTGCTGGGTCCAGGGTGACGCAGCAGTAAAAGTTCTCTAGCAGTAGTAACTAGTATTATTGTGATTATTATTAGCAGCAATGACAGCAAAGGTCATCTTTGGAGCCACTATGCTTCCCCTTTCCCCCTGTGGTCCGCACAGCCTGTTTCTTGTCCAGCTTCAGAGTCTATGGACATCTGAAGACAGTGATTTGGATGAACCATCCATGGCCCTTGACTTGAAGGTGGAGAAGTGACAGTTCCAGCCCCTCCTATGACTCACTGCATGCCTCAGGGGTTCTATTTTCTGGCACCTGGGGTCAGAGCCAGCAGTCTCTTCAGAGCTGGGCAGCCCTATGGACGCTGAGCACTGGTCCCTTCCCACTTTACAGCAGGGGCCCCTAGTCCTTTGTGGGTTTTTCAGCATCAGAAAGCACTTCCTTGTACCACAGCCCCTCCTTGCAATTCAAGGGCTTCTTGGGCAATATTTAGGCCATGGCCCCTCTGGCCCACAGTAAGTCCAGGCCTGACCAGGAAACCTCTCTTCCTCCAACCTATTTCTAACCCATCTCTCTCCTCTCAGAAAATGGCACCCCCACTGAGCACACCTGGGCACTTCCTTGAGTCCCCTTCCTTTACTTCCACATCCAAGTACCAAGTGCTGTAAATCCTATGTCCAAACCACACTGAGAATCCAGCGCTTCTGTCCATCAATACTGCTCCACACTCCACCATCTCCCCAGACCACTGCCACAGCCTCCCGGAGGGGTCACCCGCTTCCCTCCACCCAGCACCACCTCTCCCACTCTATACATGGCAACCAGAGTGATTATATAAAAAGGCAACTCCTACCCCTGCTATAGAACTCCTGCATGGCTTTCTACAACATAAAGACTGGACTGTTTCCCCAGGCGCTTGCCCTGGGTGGTCAGCCCCCACCTCAGCTCTCACCACTCAGAGTGTGCCCCCTCCCTATACTTCCTCTAGATTAGACACCTCCCTCAGGTGCCCAGGCCAGGTAAGGTCCCCTGTTACACATTCTCAGAGTATCCTGTTCTTTTCCATCCCAGCACACACCACACTGGCACTGAATCATTATTTGAGTAATTACTTGTGGGTGGCAGTCTGTCTCCTTGCCAGTGCATGAACTGTTTGAGTTCACTGCGGTACCACCTGGCCACCCGGGCCAAGAGGCCCACAGGTGCTAGGAAGCTCAGAGGCACCCAGGGATAGTTCCCGAGGTCTGAGCCGGCCTTTCTGGCCTCCAGAGTGCTGTACCCTGTTTTTACCTCTGTGCACGTACCTGCCTATAGAGCTGGATGTCTACACAAGTGCCTGCCCACCTCTCGGACTAGCCTAAGGCTCAGGGTCAGAGGCTCATCCAGGTACCTGGCTTCCTGTCTCCAGTGCAGGGCTGGCCCCAAACAGCTCTTCAGTCCCTGGGAATGGATGAAGGCAAAAGTGAATGAGTGGTCACTCAGGGAGAGCTTCCTGGGGGACAGGGAGGAGGCTGTCCCAGGAGGAGAAGGTATTCTAGGCTGGATGAATGGGGTGAGGGAAAAGGCAGGTGTGGTCACCTGCGTTGAACCTGAGCATAGATAGCATGCTTGTGCTAGCTGACCACAGGACCTACTGTGTACCACTTCCCAAGTCCTCCTTTTTTATACAGATGAGGAAACGGAGGCTCTGGAAAACTAGGGGGTCAGCCTAAGTTCACTCGGGGAGCTGGGGTTCTTGAGTCCAACATCTCTGCTCTATACTCAGGCCATGCTGCTTCTAGAGCAGCACTGTCCAAAAGAAGTATAATGAAGCCACATATGGGATTTTCAATTTTCTACAAGCCATGTTAAAAAAGCAAAAAAATAGCAAAATTAATTTTAATAATGTATTTTATTTAACCCAATAATATATTCGGTTATTTAACCAAAAATATTATCATTTCAACATGAAATCAATATAAAATCATTAAGGAGGTTTTTTTTTTAATTTTTTTTATTCTTTGCGTAAGTCTCAAAATCCAGTGTCCATTTGACACTTACAGCACATCTGAATTTGAACCAGCCACCATTTTCAAATGTACCACCACATGAGCTGGTGGCTATTGTATTGCATAGTGCAGGTGTAGAGGGTCAGATCCTGTGTGTTCATTCTGCAAACGGTGACTGAATACCTACTATATGCTGGGCACTGTGTCAAGAATAGGGACAGAGCAGGCCGGCCGAGTGGCGCGTTGGTTAAGAGCTGGCTTGGGACGCCAGAGGGCCCCGGTTTGGAACCCACAGTGTAGACAATGCCCTCTACAACTAAGATGCTAAACAACAGCTCAACCTGGAGCTGGGCTGCCGTGAATCGCCGGGGACGGCGTAGGCTGCAGCCCCTGCTGCAGCGGGTTGCCATGGGCTACCTTGTGTAGCCAGCAGCCAGCGTGAGTGACCAGCAGCCACCGTGAGAGGCCGTCCAGAAGCCAGCGACTGATCTGCCTCGTCCGGGAAGAGCGCAATGATGGTGCCAACTTGGGCCAGTGAAGCAACATCCTCCACAACTAGACTGAAGAACAAAAGGACAGCAACTTGTCTGTTCTCCTTCTCCCAATTCCCCAGCGCTGTTCCTATCCCCCAATTCCCCAATAAAAATCTTAAAAAAAAAACAAAAAACTAGGGACAGAGCAAGGCACACGGAGCTGTCCACGAGGAACCACCATCTAAGTCTGAGGGTCTCTTCAGGGGGCTAGTCTTAGCTGTGTCAGCTCTACCCCACAACACACACACACACACACACACACACACACACACACACGCACAGGCCCATATCCCATACACATATGCTGCCTTGGTGACTGTCTCTAATGAGATATTGCCACCCATGAGATTTTATGTCCTCAAGGAATGAGGCAGAAACAAACAGAAAAAACAGACTGAAACATCCTGGTTTTCCTTTCTGTAAAGGGAGGATGAAAATAAATAAAGCAAGCAAGACACCCTACCCTGGGACGAGGCCCTGGAACTCAGGAGCTTGCTTGTGAAGACACCATGAAACATTGACCTGTTCACCCTTAAATAACTACAGCTGCCATCTGGGGCCATCTAAGATACCAACTCCTGTTAGATTCCAGCTCTGGTAAGCACCAGCAAATACCAAAGAAGCAAGAATAGACAAGAGGAAACTGCAACATTGAAAAATAGCCAAGTTTACCTAGGTCAATTCTTCTGAACATTGGGGATTTGCAGACATCACCATGGTTTGAGAACCACTTAGGTGTGTGTCAAGTGTAGGAGCATTTGATATAGGCTTTCTCATTCCTGGGTCTTGAGTGGAACTCTCAATCTGACACAGTTCCTGAGGTCACATAGCTGATGGTGCTAATTGAGCTGACACTGCCCTGAGGTAGGAAGGGCAGCTAACTTTGCCTCTCCTCAGTTCCCTCAAGCTCAAGGTGGACTTCTGACTCACAGAGAAGGGAGGGAGCCTTTCCTCCATTCCCATTCAACATTCAAGCCTCTTCCCTCTCTGAGCCCTAGGGCCCTACCCCTCTGGTAAAGATTACGCCTACCTCCCCACCAGTGTGCCCGCAGAGATTCAAGGTCACCACCAAGAAAACACTTTGGAAACTCTAAAACCATGTTCCGTATTTCCCCCATGTATAAGACGCTCCCATGTATAAGACACACCTTAATTTTGGGGCCCAAAATTTAAAAAAAAATGTATTACATAAAGTTATTGAACTCAACTTTTATTCATCATAAAATTCATACAACTCCTCATCACTGTCAAAACTCCCGACCATTAGCTAGTCTTCATCTGTGTCTGATGACGAATCACTGTCTTCATATATTGCCTTGTCCTCAGCGGGAAATGCAAGTAAAACAATCTACAACCGGGCCTGCCGAGTGGCGCATTGGTTAAGAGCTGGCCTGGGACGCCAGAGGGCCCCGATTCGGATCCCACATACGCGGGCCAGTGACACTGCCCTCTACAGCTAAGATGCTGCACAACAGCTCAATCTGGAGCTGGGCTGCCGTGTGTAGCGTGAGCGGCCAGCAGCCGAGGTGAGCGGCCGTCCAGAAGCCGGCGACTGATCTGCCTCGCCCGGGAAGAGCGCAATGATGGTGCCAACTTGGGCCAGTGAAGTAACGTCCTCCACAACTAGACTGAAGAGCAAATCGACAGCAACTTGTCTGTTCCCCTTCCCCCAATTCCCCAGCGCTGTTCCCATCCCTAATTCCCCAATAAAAATCTAAAAAAAAAATAAAATCTACAATCACTGTATAAAACACACCCAGTTTTTAGACCCCAAATTTTTCGCAAAAGGGTGCGTCTTATACATGGGGAAATACGGTATATGGCAGTTGTCAGTCTCTGACTCAGGACTGCTAATTGCCTGGATCCCTGGGGACACTGAAGAAACCGAGTGAAGACAAAGAAATAAGTAACTGTACTAGTAGAGGAGTAAGAATGGCCTGGGTTTCGGTTCCCTCTCCACCAACTCTGAACTTCACTGTCCTCATCTGCAAATAAGTTGCTATAAGAAATAATTGATGTAATGCGTGTAGTGTTTGCCAAAGGGTTTGGCTCATGGTAAATGTTCAACAAATTCTAGCTAACATTATTATTCTACATTAATAACAATGACATAAACCAGCTATGGGGTGTGTGTGTGTGAGAGTGAGAGACAGGAAGGAGATGTGGGAGAGCATCTCTTTTTATCATGCCCCCATTTCACAAATGAGGAAACTGAACTTCAGACAAGACCTCAGAGCTGGCCCGCATTCAGGAGTTGGGAAGGAGGGAAGAGGGTATAGGGAGGAGAGGAAGCAAAAAGGGCTGGATTCAAGTAGTGCCTCAGGGAAGGGAGGGAAGTAGCCTGCAAGGAGGTACCTGTGGGAGTTAGGGGGTGGCATCTGAAGCAGCAGCCCCGATTTGAAATGGTCCGTGGGACTTAAGGGTGGGACTGTGGAAAGCAGGGAGTGAACCTAAAAAAGGCAGACAGACCCACGGGAAAAGGGACCAGAGATAGTTACAGCTTGGGACCTGGGAAGGTGCCCTGGAGGAGGTGGGCCTGAAGCAAAAGAGGGTGGGGGTAAGGGAGTAAGGAGGTGGGGTTTTGAAGAGGAGGCCCGAGGGGAGGGAGTTTTCCAAAGTGAGAGACCAATTGGAGGGAGCTGGGGACTTGAAAGGGGGGTCGGAGGAAGCGAGGAAATTGCCTGTGAAGTAAAGGGAAGGTGGGCCAGAGCAATGGGTTACGTGCAGGCGTCCGGCAGGTGATGTAGATAGAACGTCTCACCAGTCTCCAGCGTCGCAGCCTCAGCCTCTGTGTCTGGTCGGCTCATGGAACTGACTCGGGCACGCCAGCCGCTCCTGTAAACCCCGGCAAATCGTAGCCGGGTGCCCCTACCGTTGCCATGGCAACGGCGTCTCGCATGGGTCGCTCCCGTGGAAATTACGTCACGGTGAAGGGGCGTGTCAGGAAGTGCGTCAGCCTTGCCTCCTCGGCGGTGACTCGCTCGGCCGCCGCCATCTTGCGGACTCGTCGTACTATCGCTGGGGGCAAATTGTTTTGACGCAGCGCTGCTCACTTACACTGATTCGGACTGGCAGCCCTGAGCGTTGCAGTCATGCCGGCTGGACCTGTGCAGGCGGTGCCCCCGCCGCCGCCCGTGGTCACCGAGCCCAAACAGGTACCGTGCCCCCCTCACCTCCACCGCCAGCTCGAGACTAGGCCTGGGCGCTCCTCACTTTTGCAGGAAGAAGCGGCCGCTTAGGAGGGCTTAGAGGGACTGCAAGTCCCAGGAGGCAACGCGCTGCCTTCTGGTAGCGAGCCGAGCGCTCTGGAACAATGATTTTCAAAGTGGGGTCTGCGGACCAGCAGCGTTAGTATCACCTGGGAATTTATTAGAACTGCGGAGTCTCCAACCCCAGATCTTCTAATAGGAATCTTCATTTTAACAAGATCCCAAAGTGATTCAATAAAGATTGAGAAACATTGTTCTAGCCCACCCACCCGTGGCAATTTCTGTGGCAATTGGACCTCCCCAGTGGGTCTTTGCCCAGTAATCCCTAATTTCCCAGCCTGCAGGGTACAGCTTTGAATGTTAATTCTCAGCATCTACTCGGTGCTTAGCCTAAACCAGACACGTGCCAGGCTCCCAAATTCTGCAAAGAATGAGGCACACCCCTCCCTTAGGGAGTTCACAGGCTAGTGGGGAGACAGATATACTTGATTGTTCAACAAATGGTTTGCCCCATCACTGTAAATAACACTGGAATTTCAAAAGATCTCAATTAGCCGAGGGAGAAAGACATACATAAATTGCATATGGTTGTGATTTGCCCTATAACAAATTTCAGGTACAAAGGCATTACTATTACTTTGATGGGGTGGAGGGGAGATTAAAGTAGGTGAAGCCCACTGGAGTGAGAGGTACTGTAAATCGCTTTTAGAAAGATGAATAGGAGTTCAGCAAGTAGGTGATTGGGGAAGGGAAATGACATTATTTATTCATTCAGCAAACATTTATTGAGCACATATTGTATGCTGACCACTGTTTTGGGTTCAGGCTACAGTGGGGAACAAGACAGAAGAGGTCCGTACCCTTTCTTTTTTCTTTCTTTTTTTTTTTTTTTTTACATTTAATTTTTTTTTAATTAAAGTGTATTGGGGTGACAATGGTTAGTAAAGTTACATAGATTTCCAGTGTACAATTCTGTAATACATCATCTCTATATCACAGTGTGTGTTCACCACCCAGAGTCAGTTCTCCTTCCATCTCCATCTATTTGATGGGTCTATATACCCTTTCCACAAATATTTAGGTGATTGTGTGTCCTGGCATTTTCCCAGTCACTGGGGAAAAATAAAGTGATATCAGATAACAAGTGCAAAGACAGCAAGATGGTGCCTCTGGTCAAAGGTAAATAAGTGTGGTTGAAGCAGAGTGTTGGGGAAGTGGTGGCAGGATGTGCGGTTCTGAGAATTTGAACTTCTAGTAGACAGTGGAGAGAAAAGGATTTTAAGCGGATAATGACATTCGTGTTTCAGAAATTAAGGTATATAGGCAGTGATTTGAAGAATTGGGGATGGAGGATTAGTCATTTTTTTCAAAAGATGCTGAGGGCTGGGCTAGATTGGGGGTGGGGGTGGGCAGAGGGTCTGGCAAGCTCATGTTACAAAATGGGTGGGAGTACAGGCTCTCCAGCCAAAGTGATGTGTTGGAAATCTGGTTCTGCTGCCATTTGGGCCAGGTAAGCTCACCATTCCTCAGTTTTGTCAACTGTAAAATGGAGATAATTAAAGTACTTACCTCATAGGGTTATAAGAGTTAATATAGTTAAATTGCTTAGAAAAGTATAGGGCACCTACTCTGCTCGATAAATGTTAATATTATTGTCACTAAATGTGGAGGCTGAGGAAGGGGTCGGAGGATGCCCAAGTTTCTGGCCTGGTTGACCAGGTGCCTGGTTGGCCATTCATGAGGAAAGAGGATAGAGTTGAAAGTGCCTAGGAGTCAACTGGATCTAAAGCTCTAGCACACAGAGTGATTTGGGACATCCATTTGGGCCAGATTGTTCGGCCTAGAGGTGGTAGGGGAAATGGAGGATGTGGTTGTGAGTTGCTGGCTGAGGATAGTGTGAATACTGTGAAGAGAATTCAAGAACAGAATTTTGGGGGTGCCCATTATAGGGCATGAGGTGAAACAGAAGCCAGGAAGGACTTGGATGGAATGCTGAGCAAAAAGGAAAGACAGGTGAGAATAGGGCCTGGAGTTGAGTGGAGAGTTTTGTTTTGTGAAAGAGTGGTCATTGATCACATAGCCAGGGGTTGGCAAACTTTTGAGACGGAAGAGCCGCCAGGGGTCAGCAAACTGCGGCTCATGAGCCGCAGGCTCTGAAGTAAAATTGAAAATGAAAATAAAACTATCATAGTTTAATTTATAAAAATTTTAAAGGATATTATTCACATAATGGTAATTATGTAAAAATATATTTATGGCTCTCGAATAATTTTTAAATTATTGTGAGGGACAGAATTGGCTCTTCCAAGGGTCAGCAAACTTTTGAGACGGAACTACCCAGAGATCTGCATGTGGCTTGTGAGCCGCAGTTTGCCGACCCCTGACATAGCTGGAAAACTGCTATGTGGCTATAGGTAGTTGTTTTTGACTTTGGCAAGAGCATTTAAAATGGATGGGAGGGCCGGCCAAGTGGCTCAGTTGGTTCAGAGCTCGCTCAAGAGTTTGAGCCCTGAGCAACAGCGGTTCGATGCCCTGCTCCAGCTGAGCTGCCAAAAGGTGGCAGGATGGCTCAGCTAAAAAAAAAAAATTGCCTAAAATAGATGGGGAGCAAATGGGAGGTGAGGAAGTGGGAACAGTAAGGCTGAGAGAACTCAGGATGTTGAGCTAGCAGAGGAAGGGGGAGAAGGCAGCAGCAGAAAGGAACATGAGGGCAGGGGAGAAACTTGATTTTTCTGAAATGAGAGACTTGACACTTTGTTTACTAAAGGAAGACTGGTGAGGAAAGAATATTAGAATGTATTGACAATGGAAGTCGAGTATTCCAGTGGAGTTTCACAGAACATTTGAGCATTTGAATGGTGAAGACTATGGATGGATACAGAGGAAAGGGCATTCAATGCAGAAGGAGCAGCCAGCAAGGAGTTTCCCGTTTCTTTGTTTGGCACACAATCGCTAAATAGCCATCCCTTGGTATAGGCGCCTTTCTGGATTCTGGAACATGGTTTCTCAGAGTATGGTCAGAGCCCTCTGCGTCTGAATCACCTGGGCTCTTGGTAAAAATGCAAATTCCCAGTGTTACTGAGATGGTCTAGCTGGGGGAGCCAGGGAAGCTGCTTTTATTACTAGTTCCCCAGGAGGATCCCATGCAAGCACAATGCAGTTAAGAGAACCGCTCTCCTGAAGCAGAGGGTTCTAACCGGAAGGAAGTCTGCAGGAGAAGGTCTCATGCTCTCAGTAATATCCTAGAAGGGTTTAACCTGGGGTGGGGAGGAGGGGGTGAGGGGGTGGTCCAGCCTCAAACCATGAACTTTGAGACCTTATTTCCTTTTTCTTTTTTCACAGCCCACAGAAGAAGAAGCATCTTCAAAGGAGGATTCTACCCCTTCCAAGCCGGTGGTGGGGATTATTTACCCTCCTCCAGAAGTCAGGAATATCGTTGACAAGACTGCTAGCTTTGTGGCCAGGTAACATAGCTACTTCTGCTCGTGTGGCTCACAAGTGGATTTTAGCACCAAGAGCTCTTGAATCTGCACAGGGCAACACTGGGTTTTTAAGAGAGGCATTACTGGCATAGGCCCATTAGCTCATCTAAAACTGCACCATGGTGGTGAGGTAGGCAGCTGGCAGGACTGACATCTCTAACACATCATGGCAGTGGCAGAGAGTGAGTCACACCTAGTCCCAGAGTCACCAGGAACCTGTGCTTCCAAAATGGGCCTGAGGAAATGCCTGGAAAGCTGCTTTGACATGGATAGTATGTGTATCTATTTCTGAACCACTGGCCTGAGGAAGACAAGAAAGAAAGTTGATTGTTCTCATTGTGCAAGGGCTGTTCCTCAGAGCCTCAAATGACCCATGTGTGAAAGGGTATAAAATACCACCTCTGGGTTGTTGTGAGGCAGGAATGAGGTAATGGGACTGAACATAATTCAGGTACATTATGCAGGTGTTAGCTCTCTTCTCAAAGGGTGTGGAAATCAGCCCAAGTTCCTCTTGTCCCTACCCATCATACTTACACACACAGAGATGTCCTCAGATGGAATCTTCTTGATGGCTGCTTGACTCCTAGGGTCAACACATCACATCCCCTACTTTAGGATATTTAAAGTATTCCTGTGGCAGCCAGTAGGTTACATCCAGCCTACAGATTTTTTGTTTGTACTCGTGATTTTTTTTTTTTTTAAATTTTATTGGGGAACAGCCATGGTCATTGGTTACACATTGCTTCCATGCTACAATGGCACAGTTGACTCTTCTAGGGAAGGTGCAGCTCACAGTGGCCCATGTGGGGACTGAACTGGCAACCTTGGTGTTATCAGCACCACATTCTAATCAACTGAGCTAACCAGTCACCCCCTCGCGGTATATTTTTTTTAACTCAAGTTATTTTTCCACTTTTTCAAAATGAGGAGATTATGCAATAAATCTGGATTTCTGGCCTCTCTTGATGAACTGGACAGCTCCTTGCATGGAAGCAGTAGCTGGCCCTGAGCAGACTGCTACTCTCAGAGCATTTGCTTTCCAGGGGGCCACACCTTGACCCCCTGAGGCAGCATCCCCATCATAATACATTATTTAATAGATGGTTCCGTCCTTTCCCAACCTAATAAAATGAAACAGAGAAAGAGATTA